CCACAAGCAATGGAAAAAGAATCTTGATGGGGCGAATGCAAGTGGAGGACTAGCCGAGATAGAGGAAGCAAAGAAGATGATTGTACTCTACGACTCCCTCCAACTAGCACATAAATGCATTCTCAACTCGTTCTATGGCTATGTCATGCGAAAAGGTGCAAGATGGCACTCGATGGAGATGGCTGGCATTACTTGTCTTACGGGTGCCAAAATCATTCAAATGGCAAGAAAGCTAGTGGATGATATTGGGCGTCCATTAGAGTTGGACACAGATGGTATTTGGTGTATGCTTCCAGGGGTTTTCCCCGAGAACTTCACATTCAAATTTGCCACTGGGAAACCACTGGGATTTTCTTATCCATGCACCATGCTAAATCAACTCGTACACGCCAAATTTACGAATCACCAATACCACACGCTGAAAGATGGTCGATACGAAATCAAAAGCGAAAACTCGATCTTTTTCGAACTCGATGGTCCATATAAGGCAATGATCCTGCCCTCTTCAAAAGAAGAGGACAAACTACTCAAAAAACGTTATGCAGTCTTTAACGAAGATGGCAGTTTGGCTGAGCTCAAGGGCTTTGAAGTTAAACGAAGAGGAGAATTACAGCTCATCAAGATCTTCCAGTCTCAAATCTTTGAGAAGTTCCTCCTAGGGGAAACGCTCGAAGAATGTTATGCGGCTGTTGCGAAAGTTGCAGATCAATGGCTAGATATTCTGTTCACTAAGGGGACTACACTTGGCGATGAAGAACTCGTTGATTTGATCGCCGAAAATCGTAGCATGTCCAAGACCTTACAAGAGTACGGTACTCAGAAATCCACATCTATTAGTACAGCACGGAGGTTGGCCGAGTTCTTAGGTAGCCAGATGGTGAAAGACAAAGGACTCGCTTGTAAATTTATCATCTCGGCAAAACCGTTTGGGGCCCCGGTCACAGAAAGAGCTGTACCCGTTGCGATCTTTTCTGCCGCGGAAAGTGTGAAGCGGTTATACCTCCGCAAATGGTTACGGGACAATAGTCAGACCAATTTTGATATTCGGGCCATTCTCGACTGGGACTACTACATCGAACGATTGGGATCCGTCATCCAGAAGCTAATCACCATTCCGGCGGCGATGCAAAATGTCTCTAACCCAGTCCCTCGTATTCGTCACCCAGACTGGCTTTCTCGCAGAGTTGCAAGGGCGCAAGATCGATTCCAGCAGCACAAGATGACAGACTTTTTCAAGCAAGAACCAGTTGATCGACCGAAGGCTGGTACAAGAGATGATAGTGATGGTGCTGAAACAGACGGTTCCGTTAAAGACATTGAAGACTTTGGACACTCTTCACGAACTTCGAAGCCCACTATTGCAATATCCAGTCGTAAAGTACCAACCAAGCAACAACGTGCCCCAAATGAAGATAAACTACCACCTTTACCTAATCCTTCGGTCAACTATTCCGCCTGGCTAAGGGCGATGCGGCCCCGCTGGAAAGCGGAGAGAGCCAACCGGCTTCAGGCTGGAGGTAGTTCTCATTTACCAGCTATTTTCCGAGGTGCGGCACGACCGGTTGCTCGGTCCACGGCCTGGGACATAATTCAGGTCCGGCCCACACATCGAGAAGGAAGATTCATGGCATGGTTGGGAACAGAGAATGAGATCGTTCAAGTAGTCCTACGTATACCGCGTCAATTCTACATCAACCTTAAAAGCGATCCCATTCGAGAGGGTGACCGAGCGACTTTCCACCCTGCGTATACCGCTGAACGTAGTTCGAAGATTTTACCTAGAGGACACCCAACCCTGCATCTATATCACATTAGTACAAGCGAAGAATTCTTCAAAACGAATGTATCCCATTTCTCTCATCTTATGAACAATCCCCAGACCGACGCCGTTTACGAGCTAAAGGTGAATATTGCCATTTCTGCTAATTGTATTTTTTTCTCATCATTTGGCAGCTACCGTTGGTCATGAGGGCCATTCTGACCCTTGGGGCATCTTGTTCCATTGCCCTGGGTCAAGAAATCACCCTTAGTCGTGCACGGGATATCGGCTTTGACTTGCATCAACTCGATCGCTCTTCACTTGCCAAGAGAAAGTATTTGGACGGAGGACACCGGTTCAATTATAGCTTCCTCTTTCACGCTTATTCAAGCGATGGTGATGTTCACGTTTTCTCACTGTTCAGTAACAGTGCAATAGCATCTGTTCATGTCGTAGATCCTGCAACACACCGCGCAGGGTTCTCTCGCCTCTCTGATATCTATCTTTCTATGCTTCAACAACAACAAAAGCGTCAAAGTGGCAGCATCGTCAACTATCCAAAGTCCATAGAATTCAAGGTGTCTTACCATTCTAACGATGTGACGGCCATGAAGGCAGTCAGTCGTGAACTGGCACTCAAAGAATATCGATCGAACATTCTAGTGCTTGCATCTCGCAAAGAACTCGGTTATTACGAGAGAGGGATCGCAGCACTCTCTACTTTACCTGTAGTGAGAATGGCAAGCAACCGAAGTACATCACTCGACAGCTTAGAGTGGCAAAAGACAGCAGTACAAGGTCTCATTAGTCACTATCTCGCCTTGGGAGAATGGCTGCGGGATCAGATCGATAATTCGATCTATTATGACGTCCCTCTTGGGAACATTCCCATTGATCACAGTCTTTTCTTCATGGATGTATCCTTTGCACGGCGGATGACGAAGCAGGATATGATCCTGTGGTGGTCCCCAACCATGAAGCCGGACTTGGGTGGACGAGAAGTCGACGGGAGTGCCGGCTCATCTTTCGAAGAGTTGGTGAATCCAGAAGCTTCCCGCCCAGGTTGCTACACGAACGTTTGTCTACAAATCGAGATGAGAAACTTGGCTGTGGACGCTGTCCTACAATCATCACTAGTCAATGAGCTGGAGGGAAGCGGTGGAGCCACTTCTTTCGATTCCGTCTCTCATACTCTTCATGAATACACAAACGGCGAGGCAAGCTCATCCATCACGCTTGGAGACTCCGTTTTATCGCCTCAGACATTCTTCATTCTGAAGAACCTTGTCAAAGGATGGATGCTGGATAAAGCTACATCACCTGATAGCCCAGCAGACTTGGCCCTCGCCTTCTTCTGGAGATGGATCAGTTCTCCATCTTCACATATGTATGACTCGGGGATTCACCGTTTTGTGCACGGATTAATGACCAAAACATTCTTCCAGCTTCAAGCTGAGTTCAAGCGACTAGGATCCACTGTTATCTCTGCCGACTTTAGTCAAATTCTCCTCTTGACATCCAAACCACCCGGCAGCGCTGCTGCTTATGCAACATACATCACCACTGCAGTCTTATCTAACGAGCTCTTCAAGCACCTCCAATTACACACGGAGAGATACTACGATTTTCTCCTATATTTGGATGGAGCAAATCAAGGAGGTATCGTCTGCGCTGATCCGAGGGCAAAGGAACCCCCTCGAACCCCTTGCATTGCGAATACTTGGAACATTCAAGCGTTCCTGCCGCCTGCCATTCAACCTACTTTCCATCAAGAAGTCACCAAGTTCATTGTCGATATGTTCAAAATCCGAACGAAGCATACGGCCACTACTAGAACTCCGATGCGGGTTCTCGACGCTACATACACTACTGGCGTCCAACCAGACCAACGATTTGTTCAGGAACAAGACGAGGTCAGGGCTTATATCTCGAAGCGTCTAACTCGTCGCCTCCTATCAGTGGTCAGCAAGATGGTTCAACAACACCAAGCTGCGATGATGGGAGAGGAGCCTGACTTGGACTTTGAGTTTCCAATCCTACCAGGTTCTTATCTCACCTTTAGTAATTCAGCGCTCGAATTTGTCAAATCCATCTGCGAGGTCTTTGGCCTAGCCAGCGACTATGCCATCGAAATTGGCCTACTCCGACGAAACCTACTCGACATTGTCGGGGTGCGCGAATTTGCAGAGGAAGCCATCTGGAGACAGCCCTGTCAATCCTTCAAACTGAGCATGGTCATTTGCCATTACTGTAACTCGATCAGGGACTTTGATTTCTGTCGAGATACAGATTTACTACCGAGGCAGGGCAACGACGGGCGGAGTCCACCGAAATGGATCTGTGCCTATTGCGATACCGAGTACGACAGAAAGGCTATAGAGAGTAGTATGATCGACGTGGTCAAGAGGATGGAGATGGTATATCAGATGCAAGACCTCAAATGCGCCAAATGCAAACGGATCAAAGTCGATAACCTTGGCCAATACTGTTCTTGTTCTGGATCTGTTGGGCTAACAGTCGGGAAGGCGGATGGGCGTCGTAGACTGCGAACCATTGTAAATGTAGCAACGGTTCACAATCTTGCTGCACTCAAGGTGAATACTTCATTCTACTCGATTCATTCAAACTGACTATGAGCCCAGTCATATGCCGAGCAACTCTTAGAGTCGTGGTAACAAATATGTATCCAAAACCTATCTTGTATTTCCTAACTGGTTGTATTGATCGCAATGACATTCCTTACTTTTGAAGTGCTCACGCTTAGGATCACAATATTACAGTCAATCGATCCTTCTTTATTGCTGATCTTTACTATGACACAGTGGATTTTATCGATAAACACAAGAAAAGAGAGCGGGATTTTGAGTATTGATTGTAACAAGTGAGAGAAATATGCAGGTGGGGGAAGGATGCAGATAATACACTAGGGTTTAAACGTCAAGAACACATGAGACCAAGAAACGAGGAGAATGGGCCAAGAAACTGGAAAGGGATTCCACATCCCCTTCAAGAGTCTAGACCCAGACTCTCGTTTAGTCGATCTCCTCGAGGGCAGATGCGGAGGTTCCCTCGGCAGCGGCAGCTGGGGTATCTTCCTCCATCTTGGTCTCGGCAGCGCCGGAGTCCTCATCGACATCGAGACCAAGGGCAATCATGCGGTGAATGCGCTTGGCGAAACCAGTTGGCTCCTCCAAAGTGAAGCCGGAGGTGAGCAAGGCGGTCTCGAAGAGCAAGAAGGTGAGATCGCGGACAGACTTGTCAGCCTTGTCCTCGGAAACCTTCTTCTTGAGCTCCTTGATGATGGCATTGTGGGGATTGAGTTCGAGTGTCTTCTTCGATGCCATGTAGGATGACATGGAGGAGTCACGGAGGGCCTGAGCTTTCATGATACGTTCCTGTAATCACTTGTCAAAGTCATGTTTCAACGTAGAGAGGAATGTACATACCATGTTGGAACTCCAGCCGAACTGACCAGTGACGAGGACGCAAGGCGAGTCGCTGATTCTGTTGGAAACAACAACCTTCTCCACCTTGTCACCAAGGGCATCTTTGATAGTCTTGCAGAGCTCTTCAAATTCCTTGACCTCCTTCTCCCGCTCGGCCTTCTCCTCCTCAGTCTCCTCGAGCTCGAGACCCTCCTTCGAGACAGAGACGAGCTTCTTGCCCTCAAACTCCTTCAATTGAGAGACAGCATACTCATCAATAGGATCGACAAGGAGAAGAACTTCGAAGCCCTTCTTCTTGAGGACTTCGAGGAAGGGAGAGTTCCTGACGGCGGTAAGGGATTCGCCGGTGAGGTAGTAGATGGATTTTTGGATTTCGGGCATGCGGGTGATGTAGTCATTGAGCGAGGTTTGTTCGTCGAGACTCTTGGTGCTGAAGAAGCGCAAGAACTCGGCGAGCTTGCTGCGGTTTTGAGAGTCCTCGTGAATACCGAGCTTGAGGTTCTTGCCAAATGCCTCGTAGAACTAATAAGGCGATTAGATTGGGTCATGATTCAAGGGGGCGTGAGACATACCTTGGCAAAGTTGTCCTTGTCCTCTGCAATCTCGGTGAAGAGCTCCATGCACTTCTTGACAATGTTCTTGCGGATGACCTTGAGGATCTTGTTTTGTTGGAGGGTCTCACGGGAGATGTTGAGAGGGAGGTCCTCGGAGTCGACGATACCCTTGACAAAGTTGAGGTACTCGGGGATGAGCTCCTCGCAGTCGTCCATGATGAAGAC